TGCTGTGGTGAGCAGGGCAGCCTGGGCTGGGGGCCCCCACGCTCACGGCCCGTGCTGTGGTGAGCAGGGCAGCCTGGGCTGGGGGGCCCCCACGCTCACGGCCCATGCTGTGGTGAGCAGGGCATGTGAGCTTCCAGAAAGGAGAGGCAGCAGGAGGGGTGGAGCTTGGAGCTCCTAAGTACCTGGGAGACGGGGGTGCCAATCACCCACAGTCCATACACTCAAGCAGGACCCCAAGGCCAGGGTCCCGAGACCTGGGAGACGGGACTGCCAATTGCCCACAGTCTGTCTGCTCAAGCAGGACCCCAAGGCCAGGGTCCCCAGACCTGGGATATGGGGGTGCCAATCACCCAGAGTCTGTCTGCTCGAGCAGGACCCCAAGGCCAGGGTCCCAGACCTGGGAGGTGTTTAAGGAGCCTTCTGGAAAGGTTGATTGCCTCATTCCCCTTGGAAACTCTGCCTCAGTTGGCCTGGGTGGGGCCTGGGGATCTGTTGCTGTTGGAAAGTGGGCCAGTGATTCTGAAGGTCTGGGGGACTTCGGAGCCACTGTCCTGGTGCCCCCTGGCACTCCCCAGGCCCTGGGTGCGGCACGACTTGGAAGTGGACGCTGTGTTGTTAAAAGTCGTTTCTCTCTCAGCGTTTTCACGGTTATCCATGGCGACTGGCGGTCCAATCGCCACCCCCTCCAGGACTTCACAGGAAGAATGTGTCAAAAGTCATCTGTAAAGACTTTGATCCCATGCCCTTCCCTGGCGGGGGGTGTTTGCTGCTGGCCACGGGGCAGCTTTCACTGGGCCCAGACGCCACATGTGGAGATAAACATGCGAGATTAGGCGAGCGGTGGTCCAAGGTCCTGTGCAGGGCAAGGCCACCGCTTCCACAGGCTCTCAGCCAGGGACGGGCGTGCACGGGGCAGGGGGCAGCTGTGTCAGTGGGACCGGGATGCCGGTGACTGTCAGTGAGGAGGTGCTGTGGGCGGGGCTTCCAGGTTGGTCTCTGTCCTTTATATGCACCTGTTCAACGTCCAGAGGGGGCCTGGGGGCAAGGACCAAATAACCGGGCTTTCTGTGTGAAGTGAAAACAATGGAAGCTGTCACTTCCTGACCCGCCTGCATCCCCTGTTTCCCTGAGCAGACCCTCTTCATGCCAACGGAGGCCTGTACCGCAGGGAGTCCCAGGGCTCCGCGTCCTCTGCAGGGAGCCTGGACCTGGTAAGTCTCTGCCCCACCCTGCGCGGGGCCATGGGGGCGCACAGGTGACTGACGGGCCAGTGTCACCACCTGCCCAGGTGCTAAACCTGCCGTGTCCACCTCGTAAGGGTATAGCCTCACGCTAACCACGGCAGACATGCGTGCTCATCCGTGTGCGGACGTGCGTGCTCATCCGTGCGTGCTCATCCGTG